TTGTACTTATTATTTACAATTATTATTTCATTTTTAATTCACTTTAGTTAGTTTAATTTTCACATTACTATTTTAAAGTAAACTCTCCATGGTGCTACATAGTTCATTAAAAATGTTCCATATTTATTGTAATTATATCATGATAAATGATGACTTTAACGATTTTTATTCAATTCATTTACATTAATAATTCTTATTTACTGGTTCTAGTGATAAAATATAAAATTGATGGTTGAACATAATTTATGATGTCTGTTTTTAGTACAAAATGTATCCTTAAAAACAAATTTAAATTTATGACCATTTCAAAAGATGAAATTAAATATTTAAATAAGTAACTAATAGTTGTAAATATGAAATCATAATTTTGTTTAATAAATTTATCACAGAAAATACTTGGTACACTGAAATTTTTTCATTTTTTCTAAAATTTGAATTTGAATAAAAATTGTTTAAATGTCCAATCTGTATTGAAACTACATCATCAGATTGAATACGTATTAGTTATTATTATTATCGTACTTATAATGTTCTTTCTTCGGACGTAAATAATAAAATATTGTTCAATATATTCTTCTTTTTATTAATTGATATTGTAGATATTTATAACAATTCAAACTAACGTTACTATTTGAATAGAATATGTTTGATAGTGTGGTTTTTAAATAATTTTAGTAGTGATTTTCTAGTGCACAATACACTACTATTTACATTAGCTTCATAAGTAAATTATCAGCGTTTGATGATTATTTATCGTGCATATAAAAATAATATACGTAAACGTGATTAAACATCGAACAAAAATAAATTTGCGACTTAATATCACGATTTTTAACTTTGTGTGTAACACAAATAGTTATTAATTTTGACTTGTGACCATAAACAGTGTAGTGAAATAATCGATATAATTTGTTCATGATTGTTAAATTATTCTTTTGGCAGAAGTTTGAATTCAGAACACAAGATGAGCAAAACTTAACATAAAACACTACAAATTTATATAAACGTAAACTAAACGTCAAAAAACGTACTTCTTTGAAAGGTTTTCAAATATTTGAAAGTATCAAAAACTAACAAAAATGACAGATGTCAAAATGGTTCTCCAAATTTGATTGACAAATCATACGTATAGAAGTTTACATTGTCAATGTATGTAAAACGTTTTCAAATAATAAATTATAGCGAGTTGAATATTCAAAAACATCCGTTAACCAATAGTTTCTATTTGCGTTTAAACTATATAATTCTTCGAAAATTCAATTAAAAATATTGTGGTGAAAGTTATTTGTTAAACTTTTGAAACTACAGAAGTTGAAGACTTTTTATGAAAATAATTTCCGTCGTTGGGATATTGACAATATATTTGACAATACTTTCGAATCTGGTAATTATCTGATTTCTTCACTTGAAAAATCTGTTATCATTCCAAGTGTATTATTTATACGTGTTAAATCGTTTTCGATCAAATTTTCATTTCCTTTTCTCATTTATCAGTTCTCTATAAATAAAAAAGATCACAGGGAAATAAGTTGATAA